GTAAACTAACCACACTGGCGACTACACGGAAAAGGTCTGCTCCCGGTGTATACCTGGAAATACGAAGTGTTGTGAATATAAACGTGTTTGTCATTTGTTGCTTTTCAAACGAATTCTGGATGGTGTGTAAAAGGTACGGTAAGTGTTATTATTGTATTTACAGATAAAACAAAGTTCGGAGTCAGGGCATATACATCAATATTTATATCTATCTATCTAACTATATCTATCTATCTATCTATCTATCTATCCATCCATCCATCCATCTATCTACTCAAACACACACACACACGCGCGCATACATACCTACATACATACACACATATACATACCTCTCTCACACATAGACATATACACAAACATATACACAGACACATATGCATACATATATACATACATACATTTATATACATACATACGTATACATACGAACATACATACATGCAAACATGTATATATACATACATACCTAGTTATATATATGTGCACACACAAACACACACACACACACACACACACACACACACACACACACACACACACACACACACACATAAATATACATATATACATATACATATATATATATATATATATATATATATATATATATATATATATACATACATTTGTATACATACATAGACATACAAACATGCTTATATACATTCATATATACATACATTTATATACATACATAAACACATACAAACATACATGTGTATATATATATATATATATATATATATATATATATATATATATATATATATATATAAATATATACTCATATATATATATATATACTTATATATACAGGTGTGTCTGTGCATTTGTGCAAAATAAAGCACAGGAGTTTCCGCATCGTCGGTATTACAGGGGAACTAGATTCGGAAGTCGAAATAATTGTCGACATGAAACCATATCGTTTGTAGGGACTGACAGCTAAACCACACTTTTTTGTCTGCGACCTTTAAACATTACTTCGAGAGATGCGCGACCCCCCCCCCCCCTCCCCAGCTCTAGCAACAAAGCGTTTGTGACAATCACTATGACACGTTTCCCTGTCTTCATATATCTGCCTGCCTTCTCACAAAATACACGCCTCTACCGAGTACATATGCCATGTGTAACTACAGGAATCTCTAAAATAAATCATTCTGAAGTAAGGACACACATTACAATTTCGTAGTTATTATAAATAATGCAAGATATTCAGAAAGCATGCATATACAATGTATCTTTATAATGCATTATTGAGCATCGTGCAGGTCGCCAGCCGATGACACCCGCGACCCCTCAAAATTATTTCGAGACCTTTCTGGGCCTAAACCAAGACGTAATAGACCATCTTTTCCTTTTCCTCGTAGTCACTCCTCAATGTACAGTAGTTCTCTATAGTGATTGATCCCGTTCAACCGTCTCTTTTTTCGCCCCTTATTAACCACTCACCCCCCCCCCTCCCCACCATCACGACTTTGCTCGACATATAAGTCCTGAATAAGAGGAATTTCGACTTAACTGACCCGTCTCGTTCGCGTATTTCTGAGCGATAGGAGACAGGTACCGTTGTACGCTCACAAAAGTTTTATTTGCAAAATGATTTCACATTGCAACCTCATTGACTTCATATATATGTGACTAATAATATTTTGTCGTCAAGTGATATGCATTAGAATAAAGAACCTAATTCAAAATGACTTTGTTAGCATGATAGTGACTACTGCTTTGTAATCTTAATCCCTATATATCAAAATCTTAAAATATCTTAATGCAGGCTGTTAATATAAATACTTGTAACAATGCAGTATTTCTTTTGGTATGTTATAGAATTAAAATGCACATCGTTGGAGAAAAATTGTCGCCCTTTTTTGTAGAAAAATATTAAAATGTGTTTTTTTTCAAAATTTGTATAAGTGGAAGACTGACTTGATGAGCATTTAAAAGAACTACTAATGATATATATATATATATATATATATATATATATATATATATATATATATATATATATTAAAGAGAGAGAGAGAGAGAGATAGATAGATAGATATAAACGCACAAGATCTTTTCAATTTGCCTTGTGTGGATGAAATGACACTTGGATTTCAAATTAATTATTTTTTTTTTTCAAATATCATGATTTTCCCGTCTTTTAGGGGTAAAAAAATGTATAACCCTTTTCCCTCTTAAGCAAATGAGATCCTTCATAAAACTAAATTGTAAAATATACATGTATTTATACAACACGTACGTACATACATACATACATACATACATGTGCGTACACATACATACCTGCTTGTATGTACCTTAGTACATAAATATATACTTAACGCCGATCGGCGTGAAAACAAACCGCTCGAAAGCTGGCGTGCGGCTGTACGCCGCGGCGGCGCGCCAAAGCGCGGCGAGCCAGTGATTCGGGCTGATGTCCCGTACTCACGCGCTCAAAGTCGGCGCGCCGCCTTTGTTTGCTAGAGCGTAGAGTTTTTTTTTTTTTTTTTTTTTTTTTTTTTTTACACCCGGCGCCAAATCTAGTACAGGCATACTTCCATATGTCAGAGCTCTTCGAAGGACGGGTCGCGCCCAATGGGTCGTCACATAATAATAATCATCAGAAATATATATTGATTGTTTCTTCAACAGCCATTTAATCCACCGCAGGATATAGGCCTTTCTCAATTCACAATTGAGAGGTCATTTGGCAGTACCGCCCTTGCCTGATTGGATGCCCTTCCTGATCAAACACGGTTCGGCGCTCTATCACTTGTGCCACGGCGGCGACTTCCCCTACGACACCTGCGTTTGACCTCTTAAGGCGATATGGCGTTTTCTCGCCGTGAGATCGGGATCGAGCCAGTAGTCGGAGCGCAAACATTGTTACGACTGCCTCGGCGGGGAATTGAATTAGGGGCCATGAGCTGACTATGAGCTTTGGAGACCAATGCTCTAACCACTGGACCTTCGCGGCAGTATTTATACATATATATATATGTATATATATATATGAACTTATATGTATAAATAAGTTCATATATATACACACACACGCACATATATATATATATATATATATATATATATATATATATATATATATATATATATATGAACGTTGATATGTATATATATATATATATATATATATATATATATATATATGTATGCATAAGAACATATATACATGTTCATATATGTATATATATGTATATGAACATATATACATTCTCATATATATATATATATATATAATGTGTGTGTGTGTGTGTGTGTGAGTGAGTGTGAGTGTGTGTGTGCGTATGTATATATGTGTGTGTGTGTGTGTGTGTGTGTGTGTGTGTGTGTGTGTGTGTGTGTGTGTGTGTGTGTGTGTGTGTGTGTGTGAGTGTGATTGTGTGTGTGCGTATGTATATGTGTGTGTGTGTGTGTGTGTGTGTGTGTGTGTGTGTGTGTGTGTGTGTGTGTGTGTGTGTGTGTGTGTGCGTGCGTGCGTGCGTCCGTGCGTGCGTGCAACTTGCGCCAGACCAGAGATGAGGGAATAGTATTCTTGCACACGTATTCTTGGATAAAGTACTGAGATTACCTTGCTTTTTCTACCGCCCCCCCTAACCCCATTAGTAATAAATTCCCATTCGGTCACTCGATTCAAAGTTTCTTAACTACTACAGCTCCACTTCTATCCTTCGCCGAGCTCTAAATCCACGATGAAATTGCTGGAATATAATAAATCAAAGTAGGTACCACGTTAGCGGGAACACAATGTTGTCTATTAACTTTCTATTCATCAAACCTGACAAGAATATGCGTGCTTGATGAACAAATTGCAATCCTCAAGTATATCAACCGGCATTTTATTTTACACAAATTATCGCTATATGTTAGTTCTTCCTCCTTCATTCCCTTATATCTTCTCCAAGTTTCTTCTCTCCCTCTCCCCTTCGCCCGTCTCTTCCACCTTTTTCTCTTCCCTCTCATTCTGTCTCCTTTCTTTTCTAATTTCTTTCGCTCAGTTATTCATAACATTCCCAACCGTTGAAATGCAACAAGAAGTTTACACCGTTCCACCTTGGAAGAAAATCAAAAGAACGGTTTTGAATTATATATTTACATCGAAATACTGTAGTACCCTTATCAGGCTGCTTTTCACATTAACCGGCAATTCTGACTCATTCAATAAAGATAGACAACGTATTACGAAGGTGAACTGAAGATATTGTCCTACTTTATTTCTTAGAGAGACGAGGAGCCTTTTTGTGTGTGTGTGTGTGTTTGTGCGTGTTTGTGTATGTGTGTGTGTGTGTGTGTGTGTGTGTGTGTGTGTGTGTGTGTGTGTGTGTGTGTGTGTGTGTGTGTGTGTGTGTGTGTGTGTGTGTGTTTGTATGTGTATGCGCGCGCGTGCGCGTGTGCTTATGCACAAGGCAAGGGAGAGAGAGAAAGCGATATTATGGTCGCTTCCACCAAACGACCCAGGGACTAAAGCCGCAGTTCACAACATGGAAACAACCCATCCACCCTTGGGGCTGTTGAAACAACCGAAAATGGTTTTACAGGAAGTTTAAACGCCGAAATTCTTAGCAGTTTCATGAAAGTTAATGACGAGAAAAAATAATAACAAAATAATTATAAAATATCCTCCCGTTTCGTTTGCTTTTTGATATATGTATTAGTTACCCTGCATTATGCATGAATTTCATTTAAGCAGGAACAGTATACCAACTTAATAGCGGGTATTCTAATCCACATATATACAACTTTATGATATTCATAATACAGCTAGTTTTCGTGAAAATTATATAGATAACATGTCCTTAGAAACTGTCTTCACTTATTCGTGTAAGATATTTTGCACATGTAAAACATATAAGATCACACTCATCACGAACGCACGCATACGCGCGCACACACACACCTACCTAGTATATATCGTGTTACGTAACTGCCCTCCTCTTTCTCCAGGAACCAGCGCGCCCGCAGCCACAGTCCGAGCACTAGCCAGGCCATCGACTCACAATGAGCCAGTGCTCTGTTCTCTCGTCCTCAAACCTCATCCTCGTATACCTCATCCTCCTGGCCCTCGTGATGGTGTTGGAGGTCCAGTACACACTTGACGCGAAGCTGCCCCTGGACATCCTCCCCCGCGGCAACCGAAACCGACGTCGGATGTTGAAGTCTGTCGAGCGGGAAACCAAGACCCGAACACAAGTCGGACCGACAAATTTCGGGGCCGGAGTGACTGTCGGTCCGGAAGCGGTTTCTCAGAATGACAGCGAGTTTAATAGGGAGTTCATAGACTATTCGCCCCGCGTGAATTACTACGACGTCCTGGGTAGCACCGAAGTTCCGCGAGTGGGTATTTCACGAAAGAGTGACTTCGGGGCGTCGTCCTCAGGTAGCCAGGGAGATCCACCCTTGAGAGAAGCAAGCCCAATGCCACCCTCTAAGCCCCAGAAGAACATTAAAGTGTCACCGGAAGCAAATGCCTTCGACGACCTGGTTGACCTGCTGACGGCTTCGAAGACCCACTGCCTCGTAGACGAAGCCAAAGGGCGCCGCGGCAAGCACTCGTACCGCTGCTCCGTTCAGACGCAACGTGACTGTCGACAGAGACTCCTCAAAGGCAAGCAGTATTCGAGGAAGTGCAACAGCGGTAAGAGAGACAGACGAAAATACAAGCCAAGTTACGAAGTGAATCCCTTATCATACAAGTGGGATGGAAATACAGCTTTCACTTCCAACACCATACGAGGGTCATGGGATGAGGGAGAAGCAGGAGGAGCGGTGAAGTACAGTATAACGGTGGATGCAGATTACACTTTCATGGAGGAGATTAAGAAACTCAAGTTCTCGCCCCTGATCACATTTGACACCAAATTCGACCTTGCCGGACTTAATTCTTTGCACAAGTACGAAGTCGTGTGGAAACTCCTGCAGGTGAGTGTCCTACCGAACCAACACACATGATCACAGCTATAGATAGCATTTCTGATTACTTATGAGGCCAAACAAGACATATGCGTATATAATGAGTATATAATAAAGTGATCGTTATTAAAGATCTCAATAACTACGAAAAAAAGTCTGTGTAAATACACCCCTCAGTTTAATACACAAATTCCCAATAGAAATCTTACACCAAAATTAGGAACTGTTAATTCTGCCAATATCTAACCGCAAATGAGATGCAATGACTGACAACATAACGAACATGGCAACGTATATGTCAACACCATAAGCATCTGGAATAACAAGTGTGTGCAGTGTAACGGTGATTTATTGTGAAACATCAGTATAACATATTTAGCACGTGGAGGCAACACTACTGTGAAAGGAGGTAATAGCAACTACTAACCTTTCATACTTCAATTTGTCCGTCTTCTACAATGGTATTTCAGTGTGTAATGTATTGATCTATAATCAATGTGCTAAAATGACAGCAACTTTTAGAGGTGAGTATTTACTGCTTAATATGTAAATGCAAAGCCAAAAAGAGAAGAACGGTCGCTATCTGGAAGCTTTAAGTTAGAGCATAACTGATACAGACACGCACACGTGCATACTCTGTGGATGTAAGTGTGTCATTTATATTCACACATATGTTTGTAAATCTAGACAGATCCATAAAGATAAAGTTTGCCTATCTATATCTATCTATCTATCTATATATCTTTGTTTATATATGTGGAAGTTTATGTTTATATCTATCTACATCTATATCTGTATTACACAAATAACAATAATCAGTTAACTACATAAAACGATAACTGCCTAACTTTATACAGTGTTAATTAGCCAGTCACCTATATACACTGATAAGCATCTAACTATATACAATGATAATGAAACTTCCTTTCGGTAATAATGATAAAGTGTATCTACCTCTAGGTGTTCCGCTGGCTCCTCCCTCGAAACGGCTACCTGCTGGTGAGGTCGTCGGCCGATAGATACGACCTCCTTCAGTACCTGCAGCAGGAAGGTCTACAGGAACCCTTGCACATCCTGACCCTGTGGAAGCTGCAAGAAAGAGTGAAAGTGCGTAATAAATGATCTCTGTGATTCCCTATGAATTATTATGACGGAATGCGTAACACTACGTTTTTTTTAGTGATGGGGATGTTGTTAACGTTGATGATGTTTTTGTGAATGTTTATAAGAAGATAAAGGGAAAAAAAGTTAAGTGTTAGATGGGTCTGTGCAGTAATGACGATGTTACCAAAGATATAGAGAGTTTTCATGGATTTTGATCACTGGTGTGTGATAACTGGTAATAAAGCAAATTGACAATTTTCGTGGTTTCTTTCAAACATTCACAGGTAATTATGTGTCTTCTAAGCACTCAGTCTTCTTGATTCAATCTGTTTTGGAACCGAAACAGGATTATCAACATTTGGATGTACGCGCCTCTAAAGGTGTTACCTGACCAGTTGCATTTCTCAAAATGTTCATCAAACATAATGATCGGTATTTTCAATTCAATACCCTGTGTCTCTAGATTAGATTGCATTAACCTAAACATAGATGCAGGTATAATAAATGAAAGTTCGAATTTTTTAAAAATCAGTAAATGGATTCTTGGCTATTTTTTTCTGAGAACACCTTTCGGCGGGCATACCCTTGGTAATTCTTCAGAAGTTGATCATTGTAACAATGAATCTAGGATCAATGAATTGCATTTGATGTATAATGTCCAGATATATTCATTTCAGTTCGCGAAAAACTACCTAAGTGGCAATAACGAAAGTGGCGCGGCGTTGAGAGATCAACAAAGCCTCTGTGCAGTTTTCCTAATATATTTCATGTCCTCTCGTAACTAATATTGTTGCAGATGTTGATTTTCGCGCACTATAAACTACCACAACTGATTATTAGCGGGTTTCCTGTGTAACAGACGAATTTCGGTAATCTGGTTGACTGCAGGCAAGTTCGTGGACGGTGAAATACTCTTATTATATTTCCACCGATAATTAAGGACTATTCATCAGTTGCTTTATTTAGTAGCAAATGTAGCTATATTCCCATAAGATATTGCACTAACAGACATTTGCTCTTGTCGTAATCTTATATTATATATGCAGATTTGTTTATTTGATATATTACATAGTTTTATTATTCATTTACCTTTTTTTTTCTCTTGCGGCAACCACAGTCTATTAAATACATCAATTCGTTTGCCTACCAGAGCATCAGACAAATTTCCATGGAATTGTAGTCTTGCTCTAATGACTTCTCTTAAAGCCTGCCCACATCACACATCAGCGGGCAACTGTAGGGCCGCTTTCACACCAGGGTGGCACGTCGCACGTAGTAAATGGCAGTTGGCAAGTGACACATGGTATGTTATTTTTTTTTTTTTTTTTTACAAAAGTTGCATGTAGCGCGTGTCACTCAGTTTACAAGATGACATCATAGGAGGTTGACAACGTTACTATTATCCCAAGCCCTGAGCAATTTTGTGACAATTATATGTTTGTCATTTGGAGGAATAAAGGTGATGACTTTGGGGTAGAATGTGAGGCAAATTTATCCTCAAACCCTGAAAATACCTGTAAGGAAACGTATTTCGGTATTTCTACCACTGATAGTATTTTTAATGCACTGAAGTGATGTATCAAACATTTGCATTTCCCCCACAGTTTGCACAAATGTTACGTTTTATTTATTTATTGAATATCATCTGCCGCGTCAACATCTAAGGTCATTAGCGGTGTCTACAAAATGTAGCCAATGGTCAAAAATAAATGTACCAGGCATCAAAGGTTACACAGCATTATGGTAAAGTATTGTGCCAAAAAGGGTTAAATATGAGTTAAAGATTTGGATAAGTAGACAGAAGAAGGGGATGAAGAAGAGAAGGAAAGGGCAATGAGAAGAAAAGACCCTGCAAAATTAGTTCAGGCGAGGGCTGAGGACCAAGGCAGCGATGATCCCTACATTGGGCCTCAGTCTCTGCCTCTTAAGCTCCTCCCATGGCATGAGCAAGGGATGGGGGGTGGGGAATGTTATGTTGATTGGTTCATTGCCTGGAAGAGGAATATTTGTGCGCGGGAGCAGGCACACGTTGCATTGTTTCCTCCTGCGAAACGGTGCGTGGTTACCCTCTTAACCAAAGCCTTGCTCACTGGGCGAGTGAAGCGGTGTTGGCAAATGTGTGGTGGAATCTTTCTAGACACTTCAGAACTACTCTATGTATGCCAGACATCCAGTAATTTCTTCTTTACTATCATGTTATAAGATTTTAACAATTTCATATTAACTTTGGTAATGATAACTTTGGATGCAGAAGCTCTATTGAAATATAACAACACGGTCCGAAGTGGCAGGTTGTACGCTGAAAAAACACTGGCAAGTACAATCTCGGCGTGGTACACAGGTCGCATATAGCAAATGTGACATGCCATGCCACTTGTGTGAAAGATTTTATAGGATTACGTGAGTTCATTTTGGCATACCACGTGCGGCATGCTACTTTAGTGTGAAAGTGGCCTAAAGGTGCCAGTTCGCGTGAAACAAGACTGGATCTCCATAAGGCGCTGTACCTTACGGCCGAGTGATCCTAAGGCCCATACACACAGCAACGGACCTGCCAGATTGATACGAGTCAAAGTGCCGTAAAGTAATTTATTCTATTTACTGAAAATTCTGCTGCATCAACATCTAAGGTCATTAGCGTCATATTCAAATGCAGTGATAGGGAGGGGCTTTGGGGGGCAAAGCCTCCAAGTTTAACATTATCATAAAGTATTGTGGCGAAAAGGGTAAATATGAGTTAACATCTAGGATAAGTTGACAGAAAAGAGAGAAGGAAAAATGTATTTTATTCCATCAAAAAGAAAAAGAAAAAAAAGAAAAAAAAATTCCCTGTCAATATCTAATGCCCCGAATTCAGAATATAGTGATAGTGTGGTCATTGGTCAAACCAAATGTGCCAGACAAAGGTCACATAGCATTATGGCGGAAATGGTAAAAATGAGCTAACTATTAGTACAAGTGGACAAGAGGAGGGATGAAGAGGAGGGATGAAGAGAAGGAAAAGGAGAGGAGAAAAGACCACGCAAAATTAATCGGGACAAGGGCCGAGGTCTAAGGCAGGAGTGATCACTACATTAGGCCTCAGTCTCTGCCTTCTGAGCCCCCCCCCCATTCCAAAAAAAGAGCAAGGGATTTTTTTTTGGGGGGGGGGCACTATAGAGTAAGACATGCCAAGAGCAGCCCTAGTGCATTATAGCAATCTATAAATTACATTTTTTTCAACCTCAATGCAACTGGTCTAACCTTAAAACTTGCTCAATCAGTTTTATTAGGTGCACATTATCTAATCTTGGAAAGTGTGACCTTGCAATATAACCAATTTGCTTTAACTGATAGATGTGTAAGTTCACCCCAACCCACGTGTTGTATCGGTAAACAGGCATTACATAAACTTGTATTTATTGATTTTTTTTGCAGCATCAACATCGAGGTCGTATTTAAAATATAGCAATGGGGTGGGGTTTGTGGGCAAAGCCATCTAGTGTTATGATAAATTATTGTGGTGAAAAAGGGGTAAAAATGAGTCAACGATTAGGATATGTGGACAGAGGAAGGGGATGAAGAGAAGGAGAAATAGAAAAGAAAAGACCATGATGGGGCGGTCCCCTACATTAGGCCTCAGGGCCGCCGCCCCCCCCCCCCCTACATTAGGCCTCAGGGCCGCCGCCACCCCCCCACCCACCCCAAAGCAACAATGAGTAAGGGATTAGGGGTATAGTAATATACTTAAATCATATTAGTTAGTAATATTAGTTAGTAATATAATTTATTCCAAGTATTTTGTTAAATTTGCACTTTTATTTGTTGAACCTCTGCCACGTCAACATCTAAGATAATTAGAGGCATTTTCAAACCAGAGGTGATGACATCGTCACGTCGAGCGTTGGGCCCAAACAGGTCAGTGAGGTCAGATAAAGTTGTCATCTAAGCCCTCGGTGGCTTGTTGGTTATAGATTGGGCTTAGAGCTCTGTGGCAAACAGCCATGTGGTCTATTTCTAATGGCTTACTCAAATCGTGCTTATGTACAATGTATAATTACACCATTATTTATTGAAAATGTTCTGCCACATCATCTAAAGTCATTAACGGCGTATTTACAACAGTGATAGCATGAGGCTTGGGGGGCAAAGCCCTAAGGTATGGGTAAAGTTACAGGTCGAACAGTACTAGAAGGCAGTATGGTAGTAGGGTAGCAGAAAGGTGAGCTGATGGGGTATGGTTAGTGGTTAAAAGCAAAAATGTGCTAGACGTCTAAAGTCCTGTAGCACTATAAGAAGGTATAGTAAAGGGTAATCAAGGACGGTTGAGTTAGTGGTGAGTTGCTATTCATCAGCTATCTACATTATTACGGAAATGTTAAAACTGAGCAAAGGAGTGGAGTTTAAGGTCTGTTTAAGTAAAGGAGTTAGATCAAGAAGGATATGTATACATCTGAGGAAGAACAACTGGCTGTCAAAGCAGAAAGGGAGATATAAAAGTCTCTTGAAGGCAGATAATGCATGGGTTATAAGGAGGATATGACAAAGGTCAGGTCTGAGAACGAAAACCGCGAATATATATGAAGAACTGTACTTTGGTTGAACTATGATTGATAACAGATTTTGTGCATGAATTTGAAGGGGAAGGAGTAAGTGGTTGAGGTGGTGGTGGTGTTTTATTAGGCAGGATATCAGGAAGTGACCTCTGATGACCTCTGGGGGAAAGGCATAGTTGTGACATAAGGGATTCACGTGTCCATGTAGGTGGAGCGGGAGCAGGAGCTGGGGGGGGGGGGGGATGGATCATGTTAAGAGGGAGGGGTGGGGTGTAGGAGGACTACGAGGAGGAGGAGTGGGGTGTAGGAGGACTACGAGGAGGAGGAGTGGGGTGTAGGAGGACTACGAGGAGGAGGAGTGGGGTGTAGGAGGACTACGAGGAGGAGGAGTGGGGTGTAGGAGGACTACGAGGAGGAGGAGTGGGGTGTAGGAGGACTACGAGGAGGAGGAGGGGGTGTAGGAGGACTACGAGGAGGAGGAGGGGGTGTAGGAGGAAGACGAGGAGGAGGGGGGTGTAGGAGGAATACGAGGAGGAGGATGGATATCGGCAGATACTGAGTATGGAGGGGGCGGGAGTTGTGGAATTTGAGGGTGGATGAGGGGTTTCACTAACAGTTTGGGACTCGAGTAGATAGTGTTGAATATCTTCAAGAGTTTCTGTAAAGGAGTCGGTTGAGGAGCTTTATGAGAAAGGGTTTTCTTATGGGGGGGGGGGGGGGGTGAGAGGAGACTGGTGTCTGAGGAGTAGAGGTGGAGGGGAGTGTGGTAGGGGGATGGGGTAGAATGTTTAGTCTGTCAGCTGCAGGTAGTGCGAGGAGGGAGAAGGGAAGGTGTCGGTTGGTGTCTGGATTTAGAATGGCAAAAGAATTTGACTGGGAAAGGTAGGAGGTAGAAGTGAGGGAAGTAAGATGTAGGAGGGATAGGTATAGGAGAGGGTATAGAAACTTCTTGGGAGAGGCAGAGCGAGTGAAAAACCTTGTCGACATGCTTCCTGTCTAGCTTCATAGATCCAGTCCAAGTCTGAATCTGAGAATTGCCACCTCACTCAAATTTATAGGTGGGGCATTCCTTATAGAATAGGTTGGACACGCATAGGGCATCTGGCTGTGGAATGACAATGTTTGGCAGGATGTCCTAAACTCAAACAATTTTGGCACTGACATGGAGGAGACTGATAGGGTTGGACAGGGATTGATTCTAAACCAATGTAAACATTAAAGGAAATGTCGTGTCTACGGGAGATTGACAAGATTAGTGGGGTTCTTACGATGACCTCTGGGAGGAATGAAGCAGTCCTGTACTGATATTACATCATACTCAGAGGCAAGCAAGTCTTTTCCACAATCTGATCAATTTGTTGAAGAAAGAAGAGTTTATGGGGGGGGGGGGTTCCAGTGCAGGTATTGAGGGTTGGACGAGGCTCTGCAGGAATGGAGTTAGAGATCAGTTTAGAGTTGATAATACTATTGCTTGGTCTTTAAACATTACTGTTAATAAACGGGAACGATCGAGTCTGCTATAGAAAGACCTCTCTTCCAGCAAGATTTCCAAAAGTATGAAGGCAGAGTTGTGGGAGGGATCACGAAAATCTGTCTCATTTGGCTGTGCTAAATAAATAGAGTACAAGATATTTGTAGAGGCAGGTGCATGTGGAAGAGCGAGTAGTGTTGAGGGAGGTAGTATTATGGAGAGGTGGATGATCAAGCTGAAGTAATAAGGGATAATGGGGTAGTTGAAGAAAGTTGTGTATCTAGAGATGAAGTTGAGCATGTCGGGAGAGTAGAAAGGTCTCCTGGACGTTGAGTGTTTACTTGGGTGGATAATGTACTAGCCAGGCATTGAGGAGTGGGTAGTTGCAATATTTATAACTTATCAAAAGTGCCGGGGATTGGGGAATTGAGAAAGTATGAATTGGTGGGGCTATTTGATGAAAGGGGGACAAGCCTAACAAGAGTACATTATTGGCCATGGTAAGCCTGGAGTATGTTGGGGAAAGAAATGGTCCAAAATTAGCAGAGTCGAGGGTCGAGTCCCAAGACAGGGGAGTTACCAACATTGACTTCTAGTCTTGGCCTTCTAACCCTCCCCCCTGACAATGGGCAGGGGATTGGGGAGATGGGGTATAGTACAAGGTAAAGGTGGTTAGAAGGGGGACGGAGGTCAGAGTAGGGAGCATTACGATTAAGTAATGTGGCAAAAAAGTGATTAGGATAAGTGGACAGAACAAGGGGATAAAAAGGAATGAAGAAAAGACCATGCAAAGTTGGTAGAGGTACAAGGTAAATGCTATTCCTTAAATTAGGCCTAGTCCGTCTTTAAAGCCCTTCCCCCAGCCCCCAACAACATTGACCAAGGTATTGGGGAAACAGTTATCCTGTGTTCTGGCTGGTAAATGTTATTACTTTAAATGAGGATTAGGGCTGAATATATAAAAGTTTCCATATCAGAAGGTAGAGGAATTCAGAAGTACACTCGCCTATTTTTTATTTCCTAATAAAAGCCAGCATTTAAGTTTTAAAAATAAATTTGAACCTCAACAAACCCAAGATATTAAGTGGCCCCAAAACACAAGTTAAAAATATGGGTTGCTAGCAGTATCCGGCAGCTTTTGGCCACTATCCTTAGTAAGGAGAGAAATCTTTAATGTATACTTGGTTATTTTAGCTTTAGAGAACTGGTTACGTGTTAATAAACACCATATCCATTTTTAAACCATGTAATGGTCTTTAGGAAAAGCAGCAACTTGTCTTAACTAGATTTGCAGGTATACAAAGTGTACACAACTATAAATGCCAAGTTAAAACATTAATTAGGGAACGAAAAGGAGCAGTTTGTGGTGTGGCCCATCATGATTAGACCTAATTGACGGGAGTGGGGAGGTTGAGAAACTAAAGTATTCTTGCAAGGGGAAGCAGAGATGATAGCTAGGTGTAGGACGGGGTAGAGCAATAAGCAGGTATAGTCGCTGAGGAAGTGCTTGTAATTAGAGTGCAATTTGAATGGCAAAGAAATGGACAGTTGGGAGATGAAATGGGATAGGAGGGAGAGCTACCAGAGAGTTGGAGGGAAACGGGCAAGAGAACTGTAGTAAGAAAACTATGGGGGAGTTCTATCTGTTCATTTGTTTGATATTTTTTAACCACAAGATAAATGGGATATCAAAAGTCATGTAACACCATAGAAAGGTTTAGTGACAATTTTAAGGTGGTCAATTTATGAAAGACCTAAATTTTAAAGTTAGGCTTGTACCTCCTTGGTAAGGAGGGGCAAGTAGGATATTCAGCTCTTAAATCTTGTGTAATTTAGACAAGAGAATACCTTCCCTGCATTGAAAAAATACGAAAGGTTATTTTAGATCTTTGTGCAGCCCATTGAAGTGTCATGAAGTTTAAAAAGGAGAATAAACAAGGGTGTTTTTTTTAGGTTAAATCTTTATTCCTTGCTGCAAAAAGCCACAAAGTATCATGGATGCAATTAGCACTTTTTTGCAGTTCACAGCCACTCCTGCAAAGGATTTTGGACTTAGGACTTTCATCATAATTGCCTCAAAGGTGGACAACATCTGGCTGTGTAGCAATCTCTTGCATGCTGCAGAAATCCGCCTTGAGGAAACTTTCACCAGCAAGTGTGTTCCACTAAGAGTGGTCTGGTTCAGAGAGCTAAAGTACCTGAAGGCAAAAGGGGACATCCAGACATTTATCCCATCAATAGTTATGGGTCCAGGTCAACCAGCTTGCCAAATCCCACTAGCACCCCCATAATCTGATTCAGCTGCTGCTTGTGCTTGAGGTTCTGGGATTCATATCTGGAGAGGAAGAGAAATTTAAGTGGTTTATTGGGGATATAATTAAGATTTACAGTGAACCAACCTACCTAGGGTTGGTTTATTGCAACAAGTGTTTAGATAAGCAGGCTGGAGAGCATGCAATCAAACCCACTGTCCTGCATTTGTTACAAACCACTGCTGCAAAATGTCAATCTGAGGTTCGTTCTGACAATTACAGAATATCTTGCTATATGGCTAATGCCACTGTCCCATTCCAAATTATAGAGGATTTAAAATATTTACACTTAAATAATTCATACGTTATTCCCGTGTATCACTTACCTTCTCTTCCTCAGTCGTGCAGTGTAGGTAGGTCGTTCAAGTTTATCACTAGCCTATACTACCTTTAGCTTCGTGCCAAGGCATCACACGTATTACTCCGTCATGAGTGATAGCTATTCATGGTTAAAGTACACAACTATCTTAGTTAATTTTAAGCATATGCTTATGCCAATCCTATTGAAGGAATCTTTGCAGCATTATAAACTTCCACCTAAAATCATGAACAGGAGGTAGTGTTCATGTATGAGCACCGTATACCAGTAGTTTAATAACATTCAATAGTAATATTTATAATCTTAGTCTATCAAGACATTCTTTAATGGAATAAAAAAATCTTGTACAAAGAATAGTAATCTAAAAAACTTTGACATCTTTAAAAAAAATTGTAACCAGATGTATAGCAATACTTGCCATGGGAGGGGCTAACAGGACACCAACCACAGTATAGTTAATGATGCAGTTACTTTAGAGCGACTAGTAAAGTCAGAGTGAAGGGGTTCCTGAAGTACCTTGTTGGCTTTTAATGTAAATGTCACAAGTAGTGTTACTTTAGTGTATCAACAAAGTAATGTTCTGTAGCCGAGGATTTTAAAGTAAAACAAACTTTAATTTAAAATCATCTTATTAAAACTGGAAAAAAATATTGAAGTCAAAGGGCGGTGACGTCTAGTTCATTTTGATGGGAAGCTTCCACACTTCCTCGTTCAGTTCCTCCTAATTGGTACCTGCACTGAAAACTAAGAAACATTACTGTAGTCTTATAAAATAATTCAAGTTTAATGCAAATAATTTAGTAAAATCTCTAATTTTATGAGGAAGTACTAAACTTGATGCACTACCTGAAGGTGAGCAATCAAATACTGTAGGGAGCAACTGATAGGCTCTTAAAATGGCTAAACATTGGTATAGACCATAGCTTTAAGAGAATTAAATTAAAGTTGAGAAACTAATTTTACTTACCAACTACACACAAGCCATCCAATGAGCATTGCCTGAAGGGATAATCATCGTCCCTCTCACCATGGTCTTCAACACACTTCCCAATGCCTGGAGAGTCTTCACTCCACATATAACCCTCTGGGCAATTATAACGCACTTGTCTCAGACTTCCTCCCAACATGTAGCATTCAAAGTAATTACGCTTGTTGATAGTGTCTGCGTAACGTCCCTCTTGCGTGCACACGAACTGGTACTTGCAAGGATTTTCACATTTCTGCGTCTTCTGATTGAACATCAGGCCTTGGATGCATTGGAAAGTCTTCTGAAGCCATCCGTGTTTAAGGGGAATGCAAGAGTAGTATTCTTTACAGTTACTGGGATTAACAAACTGTCCTGAAACGGAGCATGGTGGCAGGCCGCCAATGTTGCGGCATTGAGCTATACTTTCGTCAAATTCCATTCCATCTGGGCACCTGTAACTCTCTGGTGTTGCACCAATGTTGTCACAAGAGAAGAATCTCTGGGGATCATAGTGATCTACCTTGAAGTCATTAGCCTTCGTACAAGTGCACTCTACAGGTTCATTTGGGTAGCAAACTCCACCTCCAAACTTGTTCCGGCCTGTGCAGAAGTTATTATGGGTACAGTGACGAGTGAAGGCTTGACCCTTCACACACATGACGAGCGTTTTGCAACTGGCACATACAAATTTGTCCGGCTGACCTTGACACAAATGCGAGTACTGATGATCATCAGTAGTAACACTGCGTTTAATCCGGGCTTCACACTGTCAAAGAAAAAAGTAGTCAACTTATGTTAAAAGCAAAACCTATCAACAGTATCTAATTTCATCCTAAAGCCTCAAGAACCTACTTGCATGTCAATACAAGTTTTCGTGGCAGAATCGAAGGTGTAGCCTCTGCAGTTATCCTTAACAAGGTTATAGCCACCAGATTCATTCCGAGTACAGTCAAAATATGCTCCACATGTGCCAGGATAAGGAAACCTACCCTCTTCTGTGCATTGGGGTCTGAAAGTACAAGATCATTAGTTAAATTAAAAAGTTTACTGGAGCATTACTCTGGGTCAAGCCAATGACAATCCAAGTTTAACTCACAATGCCGCCATCACTGCTGAAACTCCCATGGTGATCTGTGGAAAATAGAAATCAAATTAACCTTTTGTCGATATACAAAAATTAGCAATTCCAACTTCCTATATTATGGGAGTTATGAAAACTTTTAGTATTGAGGGTGGGGGGGGATATAGCCCTAGTTTAAGAGGGAGTGTAGAGCCCATGACTTATTACCACCAGACTTTACTACTTCCTGTAAATATACTGTTGGTAATATAGTAAAAGAATAGTAGGTAAAAACCTTGCCCTCTTAAACATATCTTGTATGCAAGGCGTCGGTAAAATGCAAACACATGCAAGAGTTTGCAACCATGGTTTTGGTGCTACAGGATGAAATAACCATCATTAAGACCAAGTCCCCAGCCAATTTTATTAGATGAAAGACCCCTGGGGAGGGAAACTTTAGTTTTCAGGTCAATGTTCCTAGTCCAAGCCATCAGAAACTCCAGAATGCACAACCGAAGTGCAGAATTTGACAATGCATTCAAGATTGGCAAGAGGATACTGTCATTTAAGAGATTTACCATTTTAAGAAATTAGTACTTTTATTGCAAATTTAATACTTTGACTGCCAGTTAAGGTTCTCATATTTAATCTTTAACAGTATACATTAGTAAATCAAGCTACCCTATTTGGTAGTATTTCATTAGAAGCTAAGCAAGCTAAATGCTGCCATGAGCTTTAATTTGATCCATATCAGACAAGACATCTAAACGAAGAACTCCACATCAGCCTAAAGATAGTCTTTTCATAAAGTGTCTGAAAGACTAAAGTAGTTTGAAGGTTCAAAGTTAGTGACTTTGAAAATATGCAAGTAGCAAATAAAATTTATAAATTTTTTGTAGTAGCAACTCTAGAAGGGGCAGTTCAGAGTGCATTTTAAATTCTGAAATGCAACCAAGTCCTGGTTCTAGACTAGGAAATACAAATGGTGCTAATTGTCAATAGTCCTCATCTCTATTCTGATAGCCTTGCAGTCCTGCACTTCCATACCTAAAACATGATAAACCATTCAACAGCAACAATTAATCTTTTGCTTTGCACTTATTATTTATCAATGCAGGATAGAGACTAAGACTAGCCCATTTTAAACCTAGATGGTCTACCCGAAATTGATATAAACTTCAATAATTTGCTTGCAGTTAGTGGTAAGAGTTGCTAGAAATCGTATACTTCTATTAAGGCATGCCAAGCACTACCTAAATTTTAGATTCATTTCAGGCATGAGCACTAAAGCCATTTACGTTTCATTTGTCAAGGTTTAAGAGTATAGCCGAATTATTATATAGTGTATAGATTAATCTTTCAGCCATAGTGAAGCTTAATCCAACTTTGCTGGACAACCGACACTAAGCAGGCATAAATTTTAAAAATTTGTGTACAGGCTCGTTATGCCAGACTTGCTCCTACACCAATTGGTTATGGCTACAATCAATATTCAGCGAGATTGATCCCTGGTATGATTATTTACCACATTAGTGTTAATCTAGTAATATGGTGATAATTTAGCCAAATTCGCTCTAGCAGTTTGTGAACCCTACTACAATACCATCATACGAATGGGGGGAAAGGAGGTAGGAGAGGTAGGGGCTCAACTTTTGGATTGAGGGGAGAATACACAAGATACTGTTAGTAAGAGCGATGCACCCTCCAGCAGCAATATGCAGCACACTTCATTTAGCAGTACAAGTTTACTGCAGCTGTAACCAGGTTACCATTTCTTATGGTCCAAGATGGCAGTGTCCATCCCCCCCCCCCCCTCTATCTAACATTAGAACTAGAAGACTGGTAAAACTAGTTCTATTTTGCATTAAACTAGAAGTTTTATAAAATAAGTGTCTTTGGTAGTATGAAAATTGTAAAAGGAAATTTGCCCTAGTAATCAAGAATAGCCAAACAAGTTGCTCATCTGCTCCTTGAATTCAGAGGCAGTCATTGACTAAACTAAAATCATTGGCTCTGATCCAAGTCTAATTCTTAGATTCTTGGAAAGAATTTAAAGTTATAAATTAAGTTTACCTTGGCATTTGCAAGCCAAAATTCGAGATTGATACCCATATTAGATTACCTATTAAAAAATATCCCCTAATCTGCACGCAAGGAAAGTCTGGAAAGATAACCCAGAACAAATCTTGAGCATTTGAAACCGTTGCAAACTGCAGAATAAACAAGGTTTTTTAGGCTAGGATCACCTTAAAAAAGCATTACTATTAATGATACAAGATTTACATCCTCTAGCAGTTCAAGATTTATTAA